TCAACCACCAACAGGCCACCCTGCTAAGTAGCTCTGAGAAGTGAAAATGCTCTTAAAGTCTCCATGTTGACTTGGAGCCCAAGGGAGGCAGTGTTTCGTGAAACAGACTGGCTCTTCTAGAGGAGCTGTTTCTCATTAGCTATTTACAAAGATGATAACTCATCTTCAATTTGTGTTATTACTGGCAATGAGGAAGAATTGCAACAGCTAATGCAGAGGCACTTATTCACTATTCATTGAATGTCTACTATGTTCCGGGCCCTACAGGTACAAGTTGAGAAGGCCACAGTACAGAAGGGGAGAAAGAATCTAGGTATAAACAATAAGGGTTAAAAAATATGTGTGCAAGGAGTTGTACATGCCTAGAAGCAGGAATCTGTAACATCCTGATTTAAACTTTCAAATTGACCCAGCCTAATTATTGCTGTCCTTCAATAATCATATGTTGTATCCTTAATACAGTACTAGACAATTATCTTACAGCTGTTTACCATTGATCATAAAGAGAGCTGTGTAAATACTGTGGTTTGATCAAGTCCAAATCATTGTTTCTCCACAAAAACCAATTTCTGACATTCTGCTGGTACTGGTAAATTTTAAGATCCCCTTTATGTACAAAGTATATAACTATGCTTCCTTTGTGTTGTGGTTATTTTGTGCTTCCCATCATACTGATATAAAAATTGGGCTCTAAAAAACAAAACAAAAAAAGTAATTGTTTCCCCCAGTAAAACTTTAGACAAGATTACCATGGTAGTCAGAATAAATGCCCCCAAAAGAAAATCTTATCCTAATCCTTGTTAAACCTGTGTTTTATGTTACATAGTAAAGCAGAAATTAAATTTGCAGTTAGAATTGTTCCTAATCAGACAGCTTTAAAATAAATTATCCTAGATTATTTGGGTGTGAGGCAATATAATCAATCACTAAGGTTGTTAAAAATGGAAGGGGGATAGAGAAGAGGTCAAATTGATGTGACATGAGAAGTCAGCCTACCCTTGCTGAGTGGGAAGATGAAGGAAGGGGCCATTAGCCAAGGAATGCATATAGCTTTCAAATGCTAGAAAAATCAAGAAAATAGATTCTTCCTGTGTTATGTTTGAGGGCTGCCATAACAAGTAGCATAGACTGGTGGCTTAAACAATAGAAATTTATTTTCTTACAGTTCTAGAGGTGAAAAGGCTTTGATCAAGGTGTTGGTAACACGATTTATTCTGAGGCCACTTTTCTTGACTTACAGATGGCTATCTTCTTTTGTCTTCTCATGGTCTTTCGTCTATGTGTGTCTGCATCCCTAATCTGTTCTCATAAAGATATTAGTCATATTGGATTAAGGCCCACCAAGTTGGGTTAGGTCCTACTCATGAGGTTATTAAACTTCATTTTAACTTAATTACTTCTTTAAAGATTCTTTCTCCAAATAAAGGCACATTTTTGAGGTTCTGGGAATTGACACTTCAGCATATGAATTCTAGGATATACAATTAAGCCCATAACTTTACCCTAGATTCTTTAGAAGAAGCATGGGTTCTGCCGGCACTTTGATTTTAGGATACCTGGACTCTAGCCTATAAAGTAATAAATTTATGTTAAGCCATTAAGTTTGTGATAATTTGCCACAGCAAATTAGAAAACAAATATAATTGTTATAATTACAATAGCCTGAATCTATTATTAAGAGGTCAATTATCTGAATTGTTGAATAGCTATGCAATGAAATATTATGCAGCAATCAAAAATAGTAAAATATGTGTCAATCAAAGGATGAGTGGACAAACCAAATGTAATATATAGATACAATGGAATATCACTGAACCTTAAAAAGGAAGGGAATTCCAACACATGCTACATTATGCATGAACCTTGAAGATCTAATTCTGAATGAAAAAAGTCAAAAAAGACAAATACTATACAATTTCATTTATATGAGGTATTTGGAGTAGTGAAATTCATAGATCCAAAAGTGAATTGTAATGGGCTCAGTGGCACATGCCTGTTATCCAGTACTGTGGTAGACTGAGGCAAGAGGATCACAAATTTGAACCCAGCATGAGCAACTTAAAAATGATTGGTAAATTTTATTGTACTACAATTAAATTTTTTAAAATAGTGAAATGAAGATAAGGCAAGGACAGAAAAATAACTACAGTTGCTTTCATTTATATATTTTAGAGAAAACATATCTTCACATATAGTTCTTATATATACATGACTATCTTTGGAAGGTAGTTAAGAAAATTGACATAGTGATTACTTCTAGGGGTTATGGATAGGAGGTCAGGGATGGGAGAAAGACTTAAATATCTTTGACACCTTCTAAATTTTGTTTACCAGTGCTTTGTTATATGTTGAAATGACAGTGTTTAGGGTTGAGGTGTAGTTCATTGTAGAGCACTTACTTGACTAGTATGCATGAGAGATACCCTGAACTTCATCCCCAGCACCACAAGCATTGGGGGGGCGGGTGCTGGGAGTGAAAAGGCTGTGGGGGAGATGGAGGAAAGGAGGGACCTGGAGAGAAGAAAGAAAAGGAGGAGAGGGAGGGAGGGAAAGCGAAGGAGGGAGAAAGAGAACAGGGATGAGATTAGGGTGATAGGCCGCTGCAGCCTACCACCGTGCAAAGGTGTGGGGCTTACAGATCTTGTTACCCCAGCAGCCTCTCTGTGCAGGGAGTATTGGGAGTTTGGCCAGGATATTGGCCCCTTGATGGAAGTGGCTACCTCCTTAGAGTATTTAATACTCAGACCCACATGACCATTTTAGTCCCTGATGGCAACAATAACTTGAACCTGGTCTGTTGGCCTGTGCCAGTTTGCTTCTGCACCAGCGTGATCTCAAAACCTCATTCTTTAGGGTTGCCCCCAGGAAAAGCAGTGATCTCAGACTCCTTGATGGACAGGGAGAGAGAGACAGATCACCTCCAGGGATTCAGTCTTCATGTTCCTGACCAACTGGCCAGGCTTGGTGACAGGGATCCACTCCTTGTCCTCTCTCTTGCCACTGCAAGCTTTGCAACTGGGCCTCAGCCGTAACAGAGGCCTAAAGACCACTGCCTAAGCCTCTGTGGGAGCCTATTGGTATCATCTGCCATGTTGTATTTTTCCAAAAAGAAGTGACAGTATATTTATTTACTAGACTGTAAATCCCTAGTCTCCTTAAGTATAGCAGCATGCATTTGGAACAACAAAAGTCAATAAATGTTTTATGTCTCTTAAAAACATATAACCTATGTCAGAAATAGAATGAAAGGCACTAAAACATGTCAAGAGGAGTTGAGACTGTGGGATTATTTCTTGAAATTTCTGCCTGCAAGTTGTTAGGTAACTGTATAAGTTAGATTTTAGCACTCTTCAAAACATCATTCTTAGTACATGAGTTCTTGCATCATACATTCCATATAGTGATTGTAACATTTTATTACTATAATTATTATTTAGAAATGGTTCTTGCTATGTATAGGTGTGTTTTTCTTCCCAGAAATCTTCCCAGTTTTTCTCCAAACAATACTTGGTCAAAAGGATGTATTTCAGGTGGGCGTGGTGTCACACACCTGTAATCCCAGTACTTGGGAGGCTGAGGCAGGAGGATCATTGCAAGTTGGAGACCAGCCTGGGCTACAAAGTAAGGCTAGCTCAAGGCCAGCCTGAACTGCATAGCAATATTCTATCTCAAAAAGACCAAAAAAAAAAAAAAATGAAATCTTTGCATTATTTCTTATTGTTTTCTAAAAGAGGAAGAAAAAGGTATAATGGCCAATGAGACTAGATTCTCAGCAGGAAGATCAAAACTAGACAAAAGATCAGAGTACAAAAAAAAAAAAGTAAGAAGGAAGCAAACCAGGAACAAGTAGTTAAAAGAAATAGTAACTGTAGGCTTTAGTTCTTTTATTCAAGTTTATTTGCACTCTAAAACTCTTCATCTCCTTAAGTGTTCTGCAAGTTAAACAGAGCCTTGCTTTGAAAAATAAAGTAGGTATCAACTAGGATAGCCAGACTAGTTGTATATGACTAAGTTCCTGCTACTCGTAGTAAGTTTTGGTGACATATGCAAATATATTGGTATTCTCTCTGAGAGTAACTCAGTTTCTAGCAACTGTTACACAGCAAACATTTGAATGGACTCTACTGGATTAGGGTTGTATCTCTTTCTGTCCTCTTTTTGTGTTGTTAGTCATATGAAAAAACACTCTTGTGTTACCAGCTAATTGTTTCACTCTTTTGTGTCATTCTTCTTATCTGTCTTCTGGACAGATTTTGAAACAGATTTGAGAATAGAAGAAAAGGTTTTAAATTGTTTTCTGGCATCTGGCAGGGGATCTGGGTGGAGCATGTCTTTTGACTCTTATAAATACTTGTAAGCAGAGTTCTAATGAGATTAGGCTAGCTGTTTGATCCCCTGAATAGGCCCTGTTACATTTGAAAGTGTATCTCTAAGCAATCACATAAAATGTAAAGTCCACCAAAAAATATATACATCAAGAAAAGAACTTGTATAAATATTTTGGTACTAAACTTATTGAGACATCATGAGATTAATATGTTACCTTTAGTCTCTACAAATATGAGAGGTCAAAGGGACTCAGAGTGGTGGCCATTAGCTTCCAGACATTATTAGTATGGTGAACTGCTAAAGTATATATACATGTTTTTGACAGACTGTCTATTGTTGCATGGGAAGATAAATAAATTTAAGCCTATCTCCAGTCTAGGAAGAGTTCACATAGTGAAGAGTTAGTGGCACCAGCCTTACAGGGAAAAAAAAATAAAAAGACAGCCCATTGCTTAGAAAACACAGAAAATGCTTCAGCTAATATTTTCCTCAATCAATTTCCTAATCATCTGGTCACTTTGTTGGCTGTATTCTCTCCAAAATAGCAATCACTAATCAGGATTGTAGCTGCTTGCCTAGGAGCTAACACTTAGTAGTTTCAGCTGGCATTTCCCCTCATATTTATGGGCACATTTATCTTGATCTCTGAAATGATCTTGTTTGTATTACAGAGCTCTCATTTGGAAGACAGTGAATCAGCAGCGATACTTTGCTGTGAATGTGAAGAATCAGAAATCTTTAGTGATTTCAATGTACGTAGGTATATGGTTTATAAAGTCTTTGATGACTCAAGGAAAAGGTTTTTTGGGGAGGGGCAAATTTGGCTCTTAAATGCAACTGGTATAGTGCCTATTATTTCATCTCTTTGGCTTTACTCAGCTACATAGTAGCTGAAGGCAAATAGGTGTCTTGGAATGAGAGTATATATAAGTAATTCTCCAGTCAAAGCATGTCTATGAAAGTAGGAAAAAAAAATACTGTATCCTGAAACTGTACATGGATCTCTTTCATTAAAGAATATGATTATCTTTATGGCTTTTAGCATCCTCATGCATACTCCCCCAACCCTTCAGTGCTGAGGACTGAAGCCAAGGTGTTCTCCCTGAGCTCCAACCCAGGCTATTTTTTATTTTTTTTTTGAGATAGGGTCTTGCTATGTCACTAAGCTGCTCAGACTGGGCTCAAATTTGCAGTCCTCCTGCCTAAGCCTTCCAGAGTGCTGGGATTATAGGTGTGTGCCACCACACCCAGGTTTCATTCATCAATATTTTTTTAATGGTCAATACTATCCTTTTCCTGGTAGCAACTGCTTGGTATTGGTGCTGCCACTGGACCACTATTCCCTATGTCCACAGGCCTAAAGGCCCTGACTATTGATAAAGTTAAGCTAGATATGGTTTTATTCACTGGAGTGGAGCAATAACTTGATCACCTCAAATATAGAACATTAAACTATATAACTCTGTTTCATGAGATGTTATAAATTTTGTTTATTCTGTCTAACCCTCAGCATAGTTTTCAAGGAATCCGGATGAATGTAGAAAATGACTTTAAATGACTTATTTTTATAGATATGGCAGTGGGTAGTGAGATTAGTCCAGTGATTCCTAATATATCCTGAGATATAAGGAAATTTTCCCCCTTATTCAATAGCCTGTTCTTTTTCCTTAAAAGAGTGTTCAAATATCTTCAAGTGAAGGGAAGAGTAGTGGGTAGAGAAACTGAATGAGCTTTACAACTGTCAATTTAATATTTTTACTTTGGACTAAAAAAGAAAAAAAATAGAAGAAATCTGAGAGATCCTGGGCTACAAGAAAGCAGACCTATTCCAGTTACTATATATTTATGATGATTAGAAGTAAACAGGACCACTTCTTGGTGAGAGGCCCAGATCTCCTCCCTCTGCTTCTCCTTTCAATCCAGATGTCTAATTGACACTTTATCTCTTTGCTTCCCACTGAATCTAAATTGAAGTCTCAGATGATACATTGGTTTTAATTGTGCTCTTCTTTACTATGAAGCAAATGTAGATTTGGAATGGCACATTCCAAACACAGATTTAGAATGAGCAAAGATTTTATACAAGCATATTTTTGGACTGTCACACCCTTAGGAGACTAGGCTGATGTTGGAATTTTCCCTCCATTTTTATGAGAAGCTCAAAATGGTTTGTATCAAATTGAAGCTTATAAACGTGGCAACCCTTTTTCTCATTTGGAGATGTGTTCCATGTCTTGCTGTACAGTGAATCCTACTTAACAAATTCTATAAAGCACAGATAATATGCTTTAGATAAGCTGAATTACAAAACATGTGTTAATTGTTTGGCTCATTTGATTTTTTTTTCCCTAGGATTTTACTGGGCTTGATCTTTTCCAACATATTGTTGAGTTTCACTATTGAAAATTCTTTCAAAGTAAACTGTGCTTCTCATGTTGATCACCATAGCATTGCCTGGTCTTCAGCTTTACTTAATCTTCGTGGCACAATTTTAGGATCTTCACAAATTACATTGACCAACCTGGTTATACTTCATTCCATGTTGATGCAGTGTCTGGAATGGCATGAATTCAGTTATTATGACTCACTAAACGCTGAGTTGTGCTCATGTCCCTAATGCTTGGAAACATTAACTGATGAATCCACATGAACACTCCTTTTGTTATCAACATTTAGCGGATGACAAACTGAGTGTGCGAAGGTTTATTCTTTGCCTAGTGTTGAATGATAAGAAGGGAGAATGCCAACATCCCATATCAGCTGACAGCTATCAGTGAGCTCATTACCAGAGAGCAGCATCATTGGTGGATGTACCAGGGTCTTTATATAGGACCCTACAAGATTTATTTGTTAAATATGTAACGCTGTTCTGTGAATTAGCACTGGCTCATTGTTTTGGCTAATTTTGTCTCAAAGAGACGAGTGCGTAGGAATATACATAAAAATATTTTTATGAAATTGGACACATGGGTAAAAGGTAACACTAGTTTTAATGGTTTTTCTCTCTTAGAAAGAATTAGTTAGGTATATGTACTTAGATATTATTCTTGATTGTTTTACTGCCAGAACTTTCATTCATTTAGGTCAGGTTTGTTGGTTTTTTCCTCTCCAAAGGGCAAGAATGGTTAAATGAACTTGAGTGACTCTTTGAAGGTATTGTGTCTTCCTGTTTTGCTTACTCAGGGAGTATTTCTCATTCCCCACCCTCAGATCTCTTTTTCTCATTTCCTTTCCCATGTGAAAGGAAATGAAGAGCTTCTTCTTAATCTAAAAGTTTAACTTTGTAGGGAGAAAAGGTTATTTATAGAGCAATTTGATTGAAAAAAATCTTCATTAATTTTCTTCAAAGGAAATAATTTGGGATCTTGATAACTATTTGAGGTAGAAATACTAATGTAAAGAGAAAGAGTAAATGATAAAGTTAATCACTGAAGAACTTTCTCTTCAATCTTCAGATAATAGAAGTATGAGCTTTGATTAGTTGTATTCATTCTTTCATCCGACATTGATTGATTCTCATATACAAATCACTGGACAAGGGGACTGTGGGGTTGGGCATAAAAATATAGACTCTATGCTTAGAGAATGAATAATCTGTATTTCCAAAAATGAGGTTTATGGACATTCATGGAAAGCTATATAAAGAAGAGAGGGGAGGGGCTGGGGGTTTAGCTCAGCGGCACAGTGCCTGCCCAGCAAGTGCAAGGTCGTGAGTTCTATCCCTGGTACCGGAAAAAAATCAAAAAAATAAAAATTAAAAAATAAAAATAAAGAAGAGAGGGGAAGATCATTACATGCAGTACATGGAAAGAAGAGAAAGAATCTAGATAAGTGGAAAGACACTTGGTTGGTGGCTAGTTTGCCTAGAAGGCTAGCTGCTTTTAATCTCCAGAGGCTTTCCTAGAAGAGGAGTATGGAGGGGCCCCCTACTCCTTCTCTGGTTCCACTCTGACTCCAGGGAAACAGAAAATGGTTAGAAGCAGCTACCTTGTGCTCCCTCCTCTGCTGTGCACAAGGTTGCTGGGGAGAAAGATTGTCTACTCCAGAGCCCAGTGATAGTGTGACTGGAAGCAGTCACAGATGACACTGGTGCTAGCTACAGGAATTTAATATTGGCTCCAGATAATAAGGAATGTAAGTAGTGATTAGAGCAGATTATGGCACTAATGGCTGTAGCAGCCACTGAGACTCCTGAGAGTCCTGAGGTTCCTCTTCACCGCCCTCCATATATCTACTGCTATCCAACCTAAAAAGAGAAAAAGCTCCAGAGAAGCTGGGATTACAATCATTGTAATCATGGAGGCTTAGTTACAAAGAACTGGATTCATTATCATTGCAGAACTGTTTGTTCCTCAGCCTGGTGGTCAGGAGAATACATGCTATATTAGTTTATTTCCTAAGAATAAAACATTTTAAATTTTTTCTCATTTTCCAGTTTTCTGACTACCACCCCTACCCAACCATGTAGAATACTTTATCATACTGTTTTCATGTTCTGTTTCATTGTTTGACCTGGTTTATTTTATTCTTGTAGGGGATGCATTTTCCCTCTGTACAATCAGAAAAGCTTTTATTTGAATAGCCCGATGAAAGGAAAAGATGTTAGCCTTTTGTGTTATTAAAGAAAGCAAAAAGAAAAGGTCACCCTCTAGAATCGAATGTGGAGAAGACAGAGAGAAAACCTAAAATGTAAGAATTACTTGGTTTGTGCCAGGGATGTAGCTCAGTGAGTGGTAGAGTGCTTCCTTGGAATGTGCAAGACCCTGGTTTTATAAAAAATTAGTTTATAATTTTTTGTTTGTTTTGGTGGTTCTAAGGATGGAACCCAGGATGTATCATGCTAGATGAATGCTCTACCACTGAGCTACATCCCTTTCTAGGTGGGGATATGGTCTCAGAATACAACAATATCCATCCCTAGGACTGAACCCTGGGCCTTCTCATTGAACTACATCCCCAACCTTTTTTTAAAATTTTGAGACCAAGTCTTTCTAAGTTGCTAAATTCACCAGGCTGGGCGCAATCCTGCTTCAGCCTCTCAGAATGCTGGGATTATAGGCTGATACAATTGCAACCAGCTAATAATATTGTGCATTTAGAGGTGACCTACGAGATTTTTCACATGGAGTCGTTTTGTGGGAGTGGCTTTGAAGAGAGAAATATTACCTAATAGCAAGTTCAAAATGAAGGGTTTTGGGCTGGGGATATAGCTCAGCAGCACAGTGCCTGCCTGGCAAGTACAATCAATTAATCAATCAATAAGACAAACACTACATCTGTATGACAGTAAGATGAAGGATTTAAGAATTTTTTTAAATTATTAGCATTAAGCTTAACCCTATGCCAGGCAGGTGGCACACACCTATAATCCTAGTACTTGGGAGGCTGAGGCAGGAGGATTGCCATGAGTTCGAGGCCAGCCTGGGCTACATAATGAGTTCAAGGTCAGCCTAAACTGCATAGCGAGACCCTGTCTCAAGAAACGAAAGGAAAAAAAAAAAAGGTTAACCCTATTCAAGGCCTGTTGTGGATAATTCTTATGGATAAAAGATGGAAGGGACTTTGTTCTTCAGTTGTCTTCCAAAACATCTTGGTTTTGTTTTGTTTTGTTTTTCCCTTTGGAGGGAGTCTGTTCCAAATTATTATACTGGTAAGAAGCCTCTTGTGCTATTAAACTTACTTTATTTGGTTCCAGAATAAGATGGGAAAAAGAACAGTTCAGTGTTTATCACAGAGTAATTATGAGAAATGA